CATATATTTTATGTGTGAAAGCTGAAAGTTAAAAAGTAAATAACCAGTCACTGTCGTCTATGTCGGGTCCCTCTGGGAGAAGTGCTGAACGGGGGGAAATTATTAGATTTACCAAAGGCTGAACATTTTCATAGACCTCAGGCTGCACCCCATTCTCTCCTTGGGGCACAGTGGATGTGGAATTTTGGTCTCTTGCAGGTTTGTATCTGAGGTTAGTTTTCTAAACTCTTTGATAAGAGCTTCCCACTTTTGCCCATAGACTGCTTTGGCTGATGGGGTTTTTAGTCCTGACCCTCCTGGAACACCCTTTGTCTTGGAACACTGGCATTTCGCTGGACAGAGGCTTGGCCATTCATCCTGACACGCAATTTCACTTTTCAGTGAGTTCCTAGGAGACAGCCTCGGATTGTTCGACCTGCAGCCCAGTCACGTGTGTGACTCAAATCCACCTTTGTCCTGGTGAGGAGGTGTGTCCACTTACCATCCCACCTGGCATCTTGTACCTTCCTGGGTAGCTTCTCACACACATCCAGAGCAACTTCCGTGACTAAGAAAAAATTCCCATCACCCTCTGAGACAGAGGCACCCAGCGTCCAACCCCATCTCCACTCCTGACTCACCTACCTCTTGGGTTTAAAATAAGTGGATGAATGGCAGTGGATGAATGGCAGTGGCTTTCTGTGTCACTTAAGGCACTGTCTATCCATAAGCGCATGGCTGCTTCCCCAGCAGTTCTTGCTATGGCGTTCCACTTTGTGCGCTCACAAACTGATGTTCAAAAAGTTTGCTAAAATGATTCACACAGTAACGGTGGGTTGAGGGCTGGGTTTTGAAATCCTAAGCCCAAACCCTTCCTCCTGGTTTGCCAACACCCTCTTCGGGTCTCCTCACCTCCACACCTCCCTGAGCCTTCTGCTCCTGCAGAGATGCCTCTGGGGGAGTGTGCAGTCCTCACTTGACCGGTGCACACAATGTGTTTGTGCATAGCCCCATGTTTTCATCCAGAGGAAAGCAGGAGCAGGGAGGACCTGCCGTCTGAGCTTCGCTTGTTTAGAAATCTCGCTCCTTTGCTGTTTTGGATAAAGGTGACTAGGAGCTAACCACCAGGGTGATGGTACGAGCAGGCGAGGCCTTTGGGAGGTTAGCAGGGCTCAGAGGCTGCAGCTCCATGAATGTGACCAGTGTCCAGAAGAGAGAGACCCAGGCAAGCTCCCTCGCCTCTCCCACCACGGGGACCACGGCTGGAAAGCGACAGCCAGGAGACAGGAGGTAGTCTGCACCAGACGCCCAATCTGGCGGCACTTTGGTGTTGGACTCCCGGCCTCCAGAGCCATGAGAAGTAATTTGTATAGAGCCAGGACAAACAGAGACAGTGTACGGAAGATAAAAACAAAGCAAAACAAGACCAAACATTGGCATGATCGCTCCTGTCTGAGCTCTGCAGCTTTACCTCATAGCTTTTCATGGAACTGGTGTGTGGTCAGATGAGAAGACAAAGGCACCAGAGACCACAGCCGCCAGCGTCTAACACAGCACTTAAGCCCACCCCTCCTCCTTCATCTTCTGATCAGCTGGCAACGTAGCAGACTGAATTCAAGAGTAGAGACAAATTCAAATTTTCTTTGAAATGCTTTGCTACACAAAAGAAAGAATGATTGCCTGATGGACTGCAAGACTCGCAACGGAAGCACAGGCCCTGAGGAAAAGCCAGGCACAGGGACACACTTTACTATGAGCTCAGTCTTTCCACCTCCACAGGAACTTAATGATTTCCCCAGCCTAGGATAGAACCTTTGTCTAGCTACAGACCCGAAGCCTACAACCAAAGCAACAATGGCTACATGGCTAATTCCTTCCAAGCCCACAGCTAGAACCTGACTGACCCACGGGGGGATCCACAGCTAGACCCTAGAGGACCTACATGGCAATCTACAGCTAGAGCCTTAACTGTCCCCATGGAACCAAGCCCACTCTGGATGGGCGCTCTGGAAAACACATGTTCTGCACTGCTAGGGAAGACCCAGGTGGACACTAAACCCAGGCCATGGTGAAGGAGTCCTAGCTCCTTCCTGGGGGAAGAAAGGCAGACCCCAGGTAAATGCAGGAGGACAGGACAATAACTCTTCCTGTCACTCAAGGGGATCCCCCAATCCTCCTTTGCTCCACCACTAGGGAAAGAAGAGGACCCCACCAGGCAGAGGAAATACAAAGAAGAAAGAGAGGGGTGGGGTCTTCTCTCAGGCCCAGTAGGTCCTGGACGTCCTGCCTTCCGCTGTGCTTTCCCCTCCCCACTGCCCCAGGTGAGGCGGGCACCCCTGCCAGCGCACCACCCGCCCATAGGCAGACCACACATCCCCCGCAACGGTCAGGTCGGAGCTTCTCTCCTGCCCCACCCTCCCCGAGCCTCTGCGGCTTGCTCTCTCAAGGGGTGAGTCAGGCCTGGCTCACATGGCATGCCCAGGATGTGGTCTGTATCTGGACCCGGAGCTGCCGAGCAAGTGTTCACTAATCAGATCAGTGGATGGACGAAGCGACCTCCGCTGACCTCAGTGGCACAGGCACGTGTTTTGAAGGCCACCCAGAGACCCCGGTCCATAGCTCAAGGCCCTGTTCTCCTGGCCTTACAGGTTCAGAGGGCCCCCAGGACAGAAACGTGGAAGCGTCCAGCACAGACGAATGCTGCACCCGGGTGATGAAGCAGCGTGGGTTCCATGCGGCTGGGGCTCAGGCAAGGTGGACACAAGGAAAAGTCCCACCGAGGAAAGGATCAGGGTGGGGAGACAGAAGCCAGTACTCAGGGGTAGGAAGGCCTGGGTTCCCCGGGCACGGTGTGGCAGAACCCCAGTACGAGATGCTGGTCAGCTCCGGTGGTCCCTGGCGGCACTCCGCTCCCACACACACAGGTCCCGCAGAAAGGGCGGAATCAGTAATCCGAGCCTGAAGGGTGCGGGTGACATTTCAGGCTTTAGCAAGAGGGAACTGGGGTAATTATTCAAGCAGAACAAGAGCAAGAGTAGAGCTGAACTTCGGGGATGCGGGAAACAGGAGCTGTGAGACCCTGATTATTTCAGGACTTCAGGACGGGGTGGAGATGGGGCAGTTGGCCGGCGGAGACCTCCCAGAGCTGGGCCCAGCCCCTGACACTCCGTGCTCAGATGTCGCCATCTAGTGGCAAGAGCTTGCAAATGCCACCTTCTTCCCTAATGCTTAAGGATGAGAATCTAAAATATTTTTTTTACTAAAACAATTTTTTAAAAATATTTTCTCTTTTAAACAAGACATATTTAAAATTGATTTTGTTTTTGTCCTCATCAGCCTCCTGAATTTGTATATACTAATAAGGGAAAAGTCACACCCAGGGCTTAATCACTCAGTCGAGGATTCACCCTGGTCTTTCCTGAGAGCCGTATTCCTTCCCTTGAAGAGCTGCCTGCTAAGCAGTGAGGCGCTCTAATCAATTCAGAGCGACTTCAATTAATGGCAGGAGGCAGGTGCTGGATGGAGGAATGAAATTGAGCATTGCTGTGTGTCTCAGCATTTTGGTTTTGTGATGGTTCCTTAGGGTTAGGGTTTAGGGTTTAGGGTTAGGACTAGGGGTTAGGGATTAGGGTTAAAAGTTAGAGTTAAGGGTTAGGATTAGGGGTTAGGGGTTAGGATTAGGGGTTAAGGGTTAGGTTTAGGGTTTAAGGGCTAAGGTTTAGGGTTAGATTAGTGTTAGGTTTAGGGTTAGGGTTAGGGGTTAGAATTTAGGGTTAGGCATAGGGGTCAGGGGTTAGGATTGGGGTTAGGATTAGGGTTGTGGTTCAGGATTAAGGTTACGGGTTAGGGTAAGGGTTACAGGGGTTAGCTTAGGGTTTAGAGTTAGGATAAGGTTAGGGGTTAAGGTGATTGTTAAGGTTAACCATTAAGGTCAGAGTTAAGGCTTAAGGGTGAAGTTTAAAGTTATTGCTAGCATTAGAATGTCCTTGGTTTCTCTGGAGTCTCAATATAGAAATACTACTGCCCACACAGAGCCAAAAGTAGTGGGGAAAGGGTCCTCCCCAGGCACGGCTTCTGTATGCCCTAAATGCCCATTGTCTCTCTGCCTAGGCAGCCAGCTTTGTGGCACTGTAGTGACATCCTGTTTCTGACCCTGGGTCTGCAGCAGGAGTCTCCTCTGGGGCTACTGAGGCCGATGAATGTCAGATTGGGATGTTCTCCAGCAAAGTAGTCACCATTCCCCAGCAGATGCCCTGACAATTCTAGGGCCTGCCCCTGCGGGCCCCCTCTATATTCCAGGAGGGTGACGATCATCATAGGTCTTGCTAGAGCCCTGCACCACAGGAAAGGTGGTTTCCTGGCAACTTAGCAGGCTCTGTGGTTGCTCTGGTAATGGGCGAAGTGGCCAGAGCCTCTCCTGCGTCCCTGCCCCTCCTCAGCGACAGCCCGTGCCCTTCCTGGCCAGCTCCCCTGGGGCCACACGGCTTCTGCTCCCCATCTCCTGTCTCTCTGCTCTCTGCTTCTCTGGCATCCGGGAACTTCTTGTCTCTTGACTCAAACTGATTGTGCAGCCACAGCGCTGTCCCCTGTGGCTGCCTTTCCTCTTTAGATGACCCAAATACCCACACGGCCTCACGTGAGGCAGGTGCAGGGGCTGGTGAGGGGCTGCACCTCTGTCCTAGGCACAGGGCAGAGTGGAGGAGGCCCCACAGGTTAACACCGGTGACAGGTCCTGCAGGGCCGCAGGAGGAGGAAGCGCCGAGCCATCTGCAGCAGGCCGGCACCGTCTCGTGTCCACTCCAGGCCCTTGCTGGTCACTGTGACGCACTCTGGGCCCCCTGGCGCCAGCCCCTCCACTGTGCACCTCACCTGCCTTTGCGG